GGTGCGTAAACCTGTATGACCTTCAGCGAATACCGTTTGGTGATTCTGAGTATAAGGTACGCAACCCTCGTCGACACACTCCCGATCTTTACAACGTTGTTAACGAGAGACTTGTGGACGATAAATCCGACACCTCCTTGGGACAGATGGTCGCCCTCCCGATGATAGAGCAAGTTGCCGGATTCGAGGATTACCGTGTCCTCCCCCTCTCTTCGGACTTCGGATAATCCTATAATATGCCAGAGCAACTTGTCTATCTTTTATTCCAGCTCCACGATCTTCTCGTCAGTCCTCAGGGTGCGTGCGTTGTACGTTGCCAGGTCAAGTCGTCTAAGGCGGCAACCGAACCTCCACCGGAGATTCTTAGCACCCCCTGCCCCGCCGTTACCATGGTCGCCACCGTAGCCAGGAATAGCGGGGCCGCCGGGGACTGGGGGCCGTCTGTTTGTTGCTTTATTCATTGGGGGGTATTTGCCATAGTTGCCACGCTTGGCGAGCGGATTGGCAACCGCAGTTTTTTTATTGTAATTTTGGCTATTATCAGGAAGATGCTGCTGCCCACCTCCTGCCTGTTTCCCTTTGTCTCCTTTTACGACACCCACGGGAGGATATGGGGTAGTGGATATTCTTGACCGCCACTACACGGCAATAATAAAATTATGAAGAATATTTTTATTATATGATGTAACTAAAAATTTATGCTTTTCGCAATTTTCCCTTTATGTGTGTTTAATACGTTGCTTCTTACCAAATTTTAAGATACTGAGATCACGGGAAGTACCCTGTAGGTTTCGATTCTTTAGCGAATGTCGAAAATTTGCGGCATAAACGGCTGTATTTTTTGATTGCGTTGGCTTAGAAGTTTGATTTTTTCACAGCTCTAAGGGACAGTACACTTGAGTATTATGAATTTCAGCTTGATACCTCCACGCGTTCCTGAGAAAAAGGGTCTTGATAGACAGACAGACGGACAACAAAGTGATCCTATAAGGGTTCCGTTTTTTTCCTTTTGAGGTACGAAACCCTAAAAACTACCATAATGTATACAACGGGAATCGAACATTTATAATATTAATTATTGATAGAAATGTACTTTGTACATCTAAAACGGCCAAGCAAAAAAGTAATATTGCAAGAAGATTATATAAAATTAAATGTTATTTTTGCGATACTCCGTAAACCTTTTTCATAAGGACCTACTGGAAGTTTGATCAACTTAATAATCTTTTTTATAATATTCCTTATAGAAGCTCTAGGGCTAATTTCAAAAACTTTTACGTTGAAGTGCCTGAAGGAGAGTTTTCGAAAACTGGGTTGTAGATATCAACGATTGATATACTATAATTAGGTTTCATAATGTAAACTTTATTCATCAAACTAACAATTTCATTGGTGTCGGCGGGTATCGACCTCGGGTTGCCCGCGTTTAAGGCCCTCGAACTACCACGGCTCTTACCAACCTATCTTTTATAGTGATAAATATTATAATGATAAATTACTTATATCAAATATTACAAAACGAATATAAAATAATGTGGGGTAACCATCCGCAGCGCGTAATTATACGCAATGAACTTTGTTGAAGTCTCGCTGTTGGTAGCTAACCGAATTGTAATGCATTGAGAAGCTAAAAAGCTGACCGCGTCATGCGCTTTTAGGCCTGTGCTGTGTAAAGTTACACAATCAATTTGTTTTTGCACCATTTTCTTCTTATTTTCGTTGAAACACGTAAGTGTGGTATAGAAATTCGATAAGTCTAACGACGATTATACAATTTTTACTTATTGGAGAAACTAATAAATATTTCATTTAACTTTACAGATCTCGTCTCAGGTAACCCATATTTATGTGATGGGGAATTATATGCGAGCAAGTGTCCACATGACTAAAACGCGTACCCTTACCTCAGCAAAGTAAATCTAATTGTGTAACTATTGTCTTGCCTTCTAAATATAAAATGCCTCGCAAGTATATACGAAAATGTCCCGATCTGAAAGTCTGTACTCAAGAACAGATTGATGCAGCCAAGATTTTGATGGAAAAATGTAAATTTAAACCAATCTCTTTGAGGAAACAACTTTTGAAACAAGTTTTAAAACTTGACTCTACAACCTTAACAAGGTGACTTACGTTTATGAACTATTATTATTTAAATCTGATTTGGGATTTATAAAAATATAGATTTATATTTTCATTGGAAGAGAAAGAAAGAGAAAAAATCCCAAAACATTTAAAATTCAAAAACCAAATATGAATCACGCAGAAGTCAAAGTTAAGTTAAATAAAATAAAAGACACAAAACTATCCGCTATTCAGAATGAAAAATAATTATACTGTCCACTATGTCGCGAAAAGTACAAATACCCTCCTATTATAGAAGAGTGAATTGAGTGCCAATATTTGCAAGTCCTGGTGACATGAAGATTGTACCGTTTTTGAAAGTGGTGTTTTTACTTGTGATCTTTGTGTAGCAGATTGAGTTTACGCCGTGCGCACACTGAGTCGACGTTGCGTACAGTTAACCGAAAGTTTGTGGACACTTTCCCGTCGATTGGAGTGAATGTCCGAATTTCCCTTTTTAATAAAAATATTAGTCATACATTATAAATATACGAAGAGTTCAAATTTTACCTCCTGGTATTGTTTTGAAATTTATAATGAAAATGAATAAATGCTGATTTGTTGCAAATTGTAAAACAGTATCATTCTGTAATTAATTTACTCAAAACTGCGTACCTCAACATGGGTACCTTCCTCGTTACTCACCCAAAAAACTGTGCACACACAAGGCATCTTTGTTAACTGCATTATATATTTCATTTGAGCGTATAAGTCCTGCTTGGCAAGGCTATTCTTAAATCTTCTCGTGGCGACATTTTTCTTGCTTTAAGTTTTTCGGAGACATTCGAAGTTGTATAATGTATATTGAAATGCTGCATAAACTGATATACCATAGTTTTTGGGCAATGCAAGTGATTCGCAATTTTTTATGATCAATTACAACCACACATTAAAAAATAAATAAATTACAGAAAACATAATAGCGCTGTGGTGTTTTGTAGCCATCTCGGCAATATATATTAATGTTAACCCGGCGTGAACGAGGTGAGAAATTGTTACACCAGCTATGAGATACCTAAAATGTTGATGTTTAATTTTTGATACTGTGATTATGTAATTAGCATTTATGCTTGAGATGTATGAATAATTGTAACCCTTCAATAAGGTAAGTAAATAAAATACCAGCATTAAGTACAAAAATCATTATTTTTTATTGAAATAACAAAGTATCTAAATTCTCTTTGAAAAAATACAAGTTTATGTAGCTAACTTTTTTTCGCATAAAAATCTTACAAAATTCCAACTTCTTAAATAACAATAATGTCTTCTAATTATAATAAATAAAAAATGAACTGAAAAGTCTTATGAGATCATGTAACAGAGCACCAAAGTTACACGTACAAATCAGCACAATCTACGCACATTAAAATCGCGTGTTAAAAAACATATGAGATTCTCACATTTTGTTCAGCAATGTTTTGTTTTTCTGTCTTTTTTCTGAATACATTAACTACATCTAACATATTTACCAGCCATTATCGGGAACTGGTGGTGAAGGTTCTTTTAAATGATCGGCAATCCTCTTTCCAGTTCCCTTGGAAGATGTACGTTCTGTTGCCTGTTCCGAAGACTATTATTTAAAATTAAAAGACATTTATTAAAATCAAACCTAAATCAGGTAAGTAGCCTCAGCTTTTCGTGCGTGTTTTTTTCACCTGTGTTATTTTCTTTGTAGATGATGATACCATTTATGGTAGCCATATTGAGTATACCATATAAATCATCATAGGCCTACGTTTGCTACTGCGTGGATTATCATAAGTGGCACTTATTTCATCTGCGACATCGATTCCGGCTTTAGGTTTATTATAATAAGTAATCATTTCCGGTTTCCATATATCCTCCGTCAATTTGTCAATATTTTTATCATTGTGTAAAGTTGACATAACCAGCATCACTTTATATTTTTAGGTACATAGGACACCAAAGTAATATCGTTTTGGAACCCGAATCGAGAGCTATTGACTTCTGTTCCATTTTGAAGATTTCAGGTACAATTGTCTTGTTTTTACGGACTGTGCCGACAGAATTCAATGAATGGTCTTTCAAGAAATGAACAATACGTAGGTAACTAGTAAACCAATTATCGAACGTCAAGTTCCTGTTCGTTTTTTTTTGGCTCCACTAAACGGCTCACGATGTCAAACGCTTTGTTACTCAGTTGGTAAGGTTATTTTCCTACGTTTATTTCCAGTTTGAATATGTAAAACTTCTCCGAATCTACAAGAGCTTGAATTTTATCCCATATTTGGCTGGTTTGTTGGGAATGTATACGCGGAAATGTCATCGCCCTTGAAAAGATAACAACATCTCATCAATAGTAAGATTCTCAGAATGCACAGAATGTTTTTAATATTTTCAACAAAATTTTCAAAAATGTCCCTTATTGCAGCTAGATTTTCAGTCTTATTTATTTGGTCCTGAGTGTTTTAATCATTGAATCTCAAACAATTTTTAAGGAAGTAAAACCTCTGCAGTGACATTGTAGTCCGAAAGATTTCAACTCCTAGACCATCAGTACACCACAAATCGATTACGTTTTGTCTATTTGAGCGTTTCCGGCCAGCTATATACAAAAGTCCAATAAATACCTTCAAATCCTCCAAGGTTGCATCTTTAATGCGATACTGCACTTTATTTTTTGATGTTTTTCCCTTTTATCCTTTATTTGAATATTTGTGTATGTAAGTACGATATTCAACATACTATCTGTTATAAAGAGACTCCAAATTTCAATCTCAGTTTCAGCAAGTTTTGATGTACCTTATATGCCTGCAGCATTAGTAATAATATTTTCAGATCGAACTCGATCGCTTTGTCTAGGTTAATCTTTTGACCATTTTGTGCCATCTTTGGAGGTATAAGAAGTTCCACGAACCTCAGCCGACTGACAAGTAGCCGCCAGCAGATTCCGGCTCTTCCAAATTATCCAAAATACCCTCTTGTTCCAAATCACATCCTTCACTTCTCTGAGAAACGTTATCAATTAGTTTAGTCACTTGAGCAGTTTTGTAATATTTCTTGTAGCCGACGTTCATTTTCTTCATAAGACATCTTAAAAGATCTAAAAATAAATCATAAAATACTATAAATAACTAACTTTAAATAAAAAATTTACTGTAAAAACACAAAAATGTAACACCGACTACGAGGTCGGGTGTTCGGTACCCCAGCCACGTCTACGCATGCGTATCTACCGTCGTCGCCAGCGCAAAACTAAACTCGATACTGTACCTCGCCCTTCGCACCCTTACCTCCAGCTACTGAAACGATAATCTGCATTTAACAACTTCTCGGGTATGACATACTAGACCTCACTCACGCCGGGTTAAGTTAAGATCAAGATCATATCCATATCCATCTTCGTCCATCTTTTACTAGGTCATCCATCTAGTGGTGGCTGCCTTTATTTTTTATAAGAAAACTGAACAGCATTTTTTAACAAACACACTTAAAAATATATATTTATTTTCACGTGGTAGAGCCATGCTGCAGCTATATTAGTACTATAGTTGTACCACGAATGGGTCGGCTCGACCGGGGAAGGACCACGCTCTCACAGAATACTAGCGTAAAATCGCAGCACAACGCTGCTGTGTTTCGTATTGTGAGTGTAGGGAACCGGAGACCCTTTTTACTGGAAAAGAGGCATTCCATCTTAGTCCTTACGGCTGACAACACATCTGCATTTTGATTCGTAATTGCAACCACTTACCATCAGGTGAACTGTGTGGTCGTTTATCACCCTATTCTACAAAAAATATTACTACACTTGCCAATAACAGATTTTCACAACATCTTGATTAACACTTACGAAGCAGAGAGGTAAAATTGTAACTTAATATAATTTAAATAATATTTACATACATGGTTGTATATTTTGTTGTTTGTATAGATTTGTGTTTAGATTTGGATTTAGATTGCCAGCTATTTTATAAAAAAAATTAACGAAATAAAAAAATACACCAATATTCACCGAATGAAATAATATAAATCGTTACGTCTGAACGTAGTGATTAAATTCTCTTTGGTTACGTCATTCTTTACCTCGCTTAATGGTACGAAATTGTCACTCGAGAACCTATCTTCATAGTCTTTTCTATAATTTCTCAAATATCTAGTCACATACAGTAGCTATTTAGGCTGTTATAATGACCAAAATTTATGTAGTCTAGACTAAAATTTTATGTAGTCTAGACAAAATTTTGAAATTGTAGAATTTGATAAATTTAAGAAATTTTCTCAGTTTTCTTCTGTCAGTAAGAAAGTGATTCTCCGAAAACTGTAATAGACGAGAAAAAACATAGTGTACAACACTTGTCTGGGACAGATTCTAGATTTAAATATAATATTTAAAAAAATCTCGAATATATTTAAAAAAAACAATAGAGCCAAAAAGCTTATTGTTAGCTACAGTCCCGGAACATCCTTTTTATAACATTAAAGCGGCAAACGAACTTACAGGTAGACCATCAATTAGTCTTCAAGACAATCTTCGTAATATGAGCAAAACGTTAATGAGTTATTTATAATTACGATACAAAACCTGTGTTTATTTGGTTAGAAAATAATCAATTGAGTTCTATTAGAAAAATTTTAAAGTGAACGAAATAAGTATATGCGTATGATAAAAAATGGCAAAAGAGAAAGACTCCTGTAAAGGAAATTCACATTTATGTTATCTTATGTACATATTCACTCCGATCCTACACACTCGTATAAAGATTTTTTACACATAAATCTTTGATAGAAAACTTGCTATATTGTTAGAACTTTAATCAAACTGTTAACTGTTTCTCCTGCATATCAATGATATGTTGCTAACTGGTAGCATTCATTGCTATGCAGACGACAGCACTGGGGATGCCTTATATACCGGCCGTGCCAATATTTCTCGGGAAAACGTCGCCGAGTACCGGGACAAACTTGTGTCTGAAGTCGAGTCTTTGCTTAACAAAGTCTCGGATTGGGGCCGACTAAATCTAGTCCAGTTCAATCCCCAGAAGACACAAGTTTGCGCGTTTACCGCTAAAAAGAACCCCTTTGTCGTATCTCCTCAGTTTCAAGGCACTCCCCTTGCTGCCTCAGCCAGTATCGGAATCCTTGGCGTCGACATATCGAATAGCGTGCAGTTTCGTGGTCACTGGGAAGGAAAGGCCAAATTGGCCTCTAAAAAGCTTGGCGTGCTCAGCAGAGCGAGACAGTATTTCATGCCGGCACATCGCTTGCAACTTTACAAAGCGCAAGTTCGGCCCCACATGGAATACTGTTCTCATCTCTGGGCCGGGGCACCCCAGTGCCAGCTCCTTCCACTTGACCGCATCCAGCGCAGAGCGATTCGAATCGTCGACGACCGAGTTCTGTCCGATCAGCTCGATACACTGGCACTGCGTAAAGATGTTGCATCTCTTTGCGTATTTTATCGCATCTATCACGGGGAGTGCTCTGAGGAATTGTTCGGACTAATTCCAGCCGCTCAATTTCACCATCGCACGTCGCGACAAAACTCGCGTTACCATCCGTACCATCTGGATGATTGGCGGTCCACCACTGTGCGATTTAGAAGAAGTTTTCTCCCTCGCACAACTTCTTTGTGGAATCAATTACCACCAGCGAATTTTCCGAACCGATACGACTTAGGAACCTTCAAGAAAAGAGCTTACACCTTTCTAAAAGGCCGGCAACGCATCTGTAATTCCCCTGGTGTTGCGGTTGTTCATGGGCGGCGGTAGTCACTTACCATCAGGTGAGCCGCAAGCTCGTTTGCCCCCTATTTTATATAAAAAAAAAATCAAAATAAAGTCCTTTCAGTTTGCATGGCAATGAATCTAATAGACTCTTACTTCAGAAAAGTGCCTACTCCCTCCTAAAAAGTTGAAATTCCTTCTACGTTGTAGAGCCATACTGCAGCTATATTATGATTGTAGCACAAATGGGTCGGCTCGACCGGGGAAGGACCACGCTCTCACAGAAAACCAGCGTAAAATAGCAGCTTAACGCTGCTGTGTTTCGTATGGTGAGTGTAGAGAACCAGAGACCCTTTTTAATGGCAAAGAGGCATTCCATCTTAGTCCTCACGGGTGACAACGCATCTGCATCTTGAGTCTTTATTGAGGATAGATGTAGATGTCTATGGGTCACAGTAACCACTTACCATCAGGTGGAGTGTGTGCTCGTTCGTCACCCGATCCTATAAAAAAAAATTGAAATTTTGTCTGGTATTGAAGATGTTATATAATAATAGTGGTATTATTATATTCTTGACTGGCAACGGCAAACAGTGTCAATGCTTAAGTTTACTTAAATGTGTAAAACAATAAGATTATATAAATTTATTACGAGCTCATTTTCAGTATGGGATATGCCACGGTACTTTGGTGTGGAATGGACTACTTCGCTTGAACGAATAAAAACCCACTGCACCAGTTCAGTAAAAATAAAATATAATGTAGGTTCCATTAGACTTTATAAGTGTATGATAGCGTCGTAAGAAGCGTCCGTGATTTGAACGTTTTTATACAAACAGGGCTAGCACAAACCATTAGAGGAACGACAGAGGATTTTATATCCTAAATATATATTTAATACATACTGATCAAAATATAATAAATAATATATGAGGTCTTTACTCATTGTGACGATAATAATAATAATAATAATGATGTAATGTTACAAAATGTAGAGCTAGATGAATTTAGTTCAAAAAGTAAAATAATTATTGATTCTTTATTAAGTAACCTAAATACAATAGGAAATAAACCTCACATTAATAAATACGGGATACATTATTCTATCATTATTGTTATTATTATTTCTACCTTAGTCCTGTTGTATTTTGTATATTTGGGTTTTAAGCTTTCTCGCCGATCCCGTAACATCCGCCTTACAAAGAATAATATTAGTAACATCCCTAAAGTGAAATTCATATAAACTTCACCTCAACCGCATTTAAAATTTATACCACCTGAGATTGAACAAAATAGTGATTCTGAATCTGATAATGTTGCACCGCTTAGAACCCAAGTTTAAAGCTATTATTTGTGAAATAGTATCGAGAGATTTTACGATATCATCCCTAAAATTTATTCTTAAGGGGGGAGATGTTATACCCCGTACTTGTTAGCCTTAGTGCTGCACTGCCTCTTAATAATGTTGACTTAGCCTTAAGATTATGTAAGTATTGCAGTGGAGCAGTTCTGCCACATCAGTCTCCTTCCATCTTCGAACCTGTTCGGTTGTCTGCGGACTTAAGTTAAACTGTTGTGTTTTAAATAATTGTTTGTTTAAAAACCAATTAGCCCGTCTCCGTATAACAGCACGCACCCTGAGGACTGATGAAAAGACCCTGAAGGTGGGAAAATTTGGAATAGAGCAACGGAATCCAAGGAACCAGCAGCTGACAGCCTTCATAGAGAAAGATTGACTCTATATGATAAACTATTTCTTGATGGGGGATGAGTCGCTCGCGTCCGTAGGCTTCGACCACCTAATCCTAGGCCCACCCTACACGTGTCCCCCGGGTGGTGCTAAACGAGCGACAAAGCCGAAACGACAGACTCGGCTCCTCGCCGTATGGTAGCGGCATAAAATCTACCAGCCCTTAGTTCGCACCATGAGCCAAGAAGGAAAAGAAATGGCCCCGAGTTCCCGGCGCCCCTTTAATGGGGCAGGGGTGCGAAGAATCTCCGGGAGAAAACCCGGCGACGAGGTTCGCCACCCGTCACGTCCTGTCTCCCGGGGGGGCGAAAAGTGGATTGCGGAGGCCCGTCTGGCCACGCTGAATGTATGTGGAGCAATGAATGATAAGATGGATGAAGTATGCGAAATGATGAATGATAGAGGAATAGATGTGTTATGTGTAAACGAGACGAAACGAAAGGGAAGAGATGTCACTGCACATGGCATGTATACCGCTTACTGGTCTGGAGTAGACGAGACCGAGCGGGCATGCCAAGGAGTCGGTGTCATCCTTTCAGAAAGAATGGGTCAATGTGTGAAAGAGTATGAATGTGTTAGCCCAAGGCTGCTGTGGATGCGAATGAAAGTGGGCTTAAAGAAGTTGTTTGTGCTAGGGGTGTACGCCCCAGATATGTCTAAGCCCACTTATATCCGAGAGCAGTTTTGGGACATGGTAAGGCTGGTGTTGATGAAATGTAAGGAAAATGAAAATATTATTATGTTAGGAGATTTTAATGGTAGGGTTGGGGTGAAGAGGTCTGGTTATGAAAGGATATTAGGAACGTTTGGCGATGAAAGAATAAATGAGAATGGTGAAGACCTCC